CCTGGAAACCCAAAGTCCAGGGATGGGGAACGCGGAGCTTCTCCTGCCTGCTGGAGGAGGAGGAGGGCCAAGGAGCAGAGCAAGCTCAACCAAACAAGATGGCGCAGCCCGATGGCCCATGTACGTGGATTCATAAGGGGGGCTCCGCTTACGTCTATGGACTTGCAGGGCCAGAAGCTATGGGGACAGACAGGGCACAGGAGAGAAGAAACCCTTCTCAACCCTTCAGGAGGGAAATGGAGGTAAGGAAAAAGGTTTCCCCCAACCACCACTGTTGGAACAGAACATGGGGAATCCCTTTTGGGAAGAGAGCAAGAGATGGAAAGGAGGAAGAGACAGCAGATTTTCTATTAACAACATTAGTAAGAATAATGATGATTTTTTTGAAATGCAGTCATGAGAAATATTTCAGGGTTTCTGTGATGATTTTTTTTAACAGTAGGTGGAGTTTGCTGTCACAAAAGACCAGTTCCCATGACCCAAATGCAACGCTGAGAAAAGTTGGCTGTGGATCTACGGACAATCTCGCAAGCACTAAAACTGACACAGGATCCTTTAGGAAAGTGAAGACCCATTTACTTATTCTGCTTCCTCTTGATCCACGTCTGGCAACTTGGTAGTGGTTTGCAAGCTGTGAACGACTTAAGTGTGCAGATCCGTTCAAGCTACCATCGGAACAAACACCTCTGGGCAGGCAAATGTCACCCCAAGATACAGTTGGCTCTTTCCCCATCATCTCTTTCAACCTCCTTTCCCTCTCAGAGTCTTACATACCCTCTGGGTCACAGAGTTTCTTCAGAGCACGACACATTGGAGCTTTGATGCGAAGGTTCCTCCCTTTGTAGCGGACCGTAGTAGCTCTAGAAATGTTTAAAAAGTGAGAGGGTTGAGGACGCCAGCAGCACAGCAACTCTTAAAAAGATTTATAGAAGTCTGTGCGATTAGCACAAACCAGGTGGGTTGCCGTCATTGATAACACATGATTCATCTAGGCTGCAAAATCACAGAGATACACACTCCTTGTGACAGTGCACTTCAGAGGGCACTTTCTGTTGCTCTGTCTCCAGCACTGTAGGTGCTAAGAACCTTCTCTCTACAATTTTCAGCCCTTCTGAGCAGTTTTAGGGTATGGAAAGCAACTGAGGGAGAAGAGGAGGATGCTACTGATTCAGATGAAAACAATCGGATCCAGGAGAAGTACACCTCTGGATCTCAACCAACTGTAGTATCTGCAGGGGATGGACAGACAGACAGACAGACAGACATACCTCTGGATCTCAACTGATATACAGTCGGACTGTAGTATCCGCAGGGGATGGGTTCTAAGACAGACAGACAGACAGACACACACACACAAACCATTTTTTGGCGGATGCCAAAAACTGTGTAAGTATTGAACTCTATACATTGAATGGTCTGTGGCTCTCTCTAGTGGCCAGTTATGAGGTTTTTATTTAGTATTTTCAGTGGATAAGTGAATCAGCAGATAACTGATTCTGTGGATAAAGGTTCTTACTCTACTTCTGCACTTTTAAGCTGCCCACTAATAAGCTTTCTCTGAGTGGTGTACAAGTATAATGTGCTTTCAAATGCAACAACATAATCAATGGCTAAAACAGCAAAATATATAAAATCAGGAAAAAAACCCAGCATCATACAAAATCAAACTAAAATCAGTAAAAGAAGAAAAGTGCATATATGTAGAAACGTTAAAACTGTTATTAAAATTGCTGGGAGAACCAAAAGGTCTCCACCTGGTGCCAAGGAGAGGACAAGATAGACACCAGGTGACCCTCCTCTGGGTAGGACATTCCATGCACGGGATTCCACCACTGCGTGCGACAAAATACTCAGCCTTTTAGTCTACCTTGCCATCTGTCACAAGCCTCTATTCCTTCATTGTGCAGGAATAACATAACCTAGTGTGAAATCCGAAATAAATATGGCAACTCCATACCTACAAGCAATTTGCCACTGAGATTTATGTCAGAGAGAGAGAGAGAGAGAGAGAGAGAGAAGGATGGCATAAAAGACAGACTATGAGCAATCAGTACATTACAATTACTTACCCAACTTGGATGAGCTCATTGAGTTTCGCAGCATTTTTGTCATCCATACCTTTCAATAAAACAGTAAAACACATCGTAGTCTTCAGGAATGAAACATGGCAGAAAAATTAATGACATTATATTTCACTGTTGCAATTTCAGTGGTTGTTCTTACAGACAAATCATTCTGATTAACATGCGACAAACTGAGGCTCTACCGAAAAATACAACCAATTTAATCATATGCACAGTATCTCTATCCCAGATGGAGTTCCTCAAAACATGTACCTGTGAGGTACTTGACTAAGGAAACAAAGAGGCATTCTTCATAACTTCCTGAATGAGACATATACTTCAAGACAGAAGGGATTTTTAGGGATGATTAATGAGAAATATGGGGAAAATTTAATTAATTTAATTTACTTTTCTCTTCTTTTTCTATTTATTATTTATGATTCATTATGTTTTGTTAATTGACATTTGATATTTTTGGTTTATGCTGTTATAATTGTATATTTTATGTTAGCCGCTCAGAGTGGTACTGACCTACCAGATGGGCGGGATACAAATCAAATAAATAAATAAATAAATAAATAAAATAAAATAATGGGCTGATATGCATTCAAAGGATAAGTGAAATGAGTTGGGAATGGGAAGGAAAATGATGGCGAGAGAGAAGGATGAAGTAAAGAAGCTGGCATTTGTATCACTGATCAGTCGAGGTCAACAGGGTGCCAACTCTTGCATCCTAAGAAGCAGCAGAGTAAGAACTTTGGCCCTTCTCTTTCCCACACTCTCACTTCCCTTTCTTAGACAGAGGGGAATGAGAATCCTTTTTCTTATGTGAGGATTAAGTCGTTGGCGCTGCAGTCAATGGCAATCCTTTCAAAGCTATGGTCAAGACTGAAGACTGTGTTGGTGCTGAGGAGGATGAGGGCAAAGCTGTTCCCATCATCAGAGGTGACTGGGAACAGACCTGATGTTTTGGGTGCAGCAAGGATGTGTTCCACTTGTTCCAATGTTTCAAGAGCCTTCTCCCATTTTCAGCTGTATGTTCTGACAATGTTCTTGACAATTGTGTTTTCGACAATGGTGGCACTATTCTGCAAGATGATTTACCTCCCAAAAAGACACTTAAGATTACTATGTTTCAGGGGAACTTGCTCCCACAGTCATCATGCCTTTAAAAGGATGCCTCAGAGGCCATGGATTTGGGACTACAAAACCACAAAGAGAAGTCAAGGAGTCTTAAGTGAAACGATGAGTGAAAGTTTGGGTAGAAATAAAGACTTAAGTACTGTATAGGGTTCTGAAGACATACCAAGGTTGAAAAAATCAATCAATCATGAAAAACTCAGCTAGCATGAGGGGAGAATCTTCCAGTGTGCTACAAACATTGCAACAGATGAAAAGGAAATGAGAAAGCAGAAAACTGGCATAGCCATGTTCCTTAGTGTGTGAGTAGGGCTTCTGCCAAAGTGACAATGATCTGTCTTAGAATATTGATTGCTGCACAGGCACAAAAAGACCCATCTGTGTGAGTTCATAAATAACCACTTGAAAAATCAGTGACAGGTAAGCAACATGTTCTTTTACATTTCATCTTCTTCCCCCTGCACACTTTGGCCACAACTGGCTAACATGCAATACCGACTTAAATCATTGTCCTGTTTAACCCTTTGAAAAATGAAATTAAAAACATCGCAATGCGACTGCATTAGCGATCGTAAAAACGTCACCATGCGGATTCGTCGTTAAACGGTGCGCTCGTTAAGCGAGGCACCACTGTACTTCTAATGAGAGAACAATTCTACTGAGAAAAACCCTTGTATAAGAGAGGTATGTTGACACACTCGTTTAGAAAAATCAACTTGTGATTAATGATGTACATCATAATTCATTTTAAAGTTTTATAGCCTAAAACACTCCTGGGAATATCAGTGTTCAAATACTGGACTATTCCTAAACCCTCTTTCTCACAGTTTAATTTATATTCTATTCCACCTGTATGCCACATTCTACAAAGAGCTCAAGTTAATATATATGCTTCTTTATTCCTCCACCGTACACATTTCCTTTCATCTCCATGGTATTCCTGTGAGGTATGTTAGACTAGACCTATATGCATGACTCATATAAACCACAAATAATATGTAATTTTTTGGATTTGACATGGTTGATCATGACGACAAGTGGCTTAGGATTAATCAGGATAATCTTAGCTACTTGGAATGAATTTTATTTTTGTATGTCAGACCCAAAGAAACAAATCATCTCAGTGATCAATTCTGCAATTCTGCTAGGCAGGAACAACCAGATTTGTCACTGCATGGGAACTGCATCCCAAAGTGTTTCATATTTTACCACCTCTATATCCTGGCTTTTATTCTATAATGCTCTGCATACAAGAGTGCAGTAAGAAGAACTTTTGGAAATTTCTGTCACATGAAGTGACAAGAATGTGCTTATCAAAGGGGGAGGCCATACTACAAAATAAAGGGCTCCAGAGACATCTTTGAAGACAGTATATAAATGGTTTCCCAAAGCAACACAGAACACCTGCAGCACTTTCTCATTTCGTGACAATGAAATATAACGTATACTCACAGCCCCCAATCTTCTTTCTTAGCTCTCCGTAACAAATTAAGCCATAGAGCTCCAGGGAGGATTTTTTGAGCCCTTGAGAAAAAACTGTGAAACAAAAAAGGAAACCACCAGCATTATACTAAATAATAACAAGAACAATAATATCAACAACAATAATGACATGAACTAGTAGCTCATTTAGAAATATTTATTTAATATTTAACTATTAATCTAAATGTTAATAGTTCTCCTCCAGTCCGTACAACGTGTATACTGCAATTTGAAGACTGCATGCGTACATACTGCGTACATTTCCCAACTACTTTTTAGGACTGGGGGGGCTAATTTACAATACTGTAACAATTAGGACCCTAACAAATTCAATGCTGACATACTACTACTGTATCCTAATATCTGACTTTACACTGGAATTCAGGGGTAACTGTGACCAATGCTTCCAAATATTCATTGATATCTGCAAATTCTGTTTCCCTCAACTCATCTAGCTCCACTTGCTCCACTTCCTTGAAGCTCATGACTTGTGTTCAGGGATGACCTCTGTACTCAAAAGACAATCATGCTTGGTGGAATGGCAAAGGCATGCATGGTGAACTTTCTAAGACTCCTTCAAGAGGTCTTTTTATGAATGACTGGAAGTGAAGGGATCAGAAAATGGGTCACTTTTTATCTTTGGTGCCATTGTTTTGGTGGTGGTTGTTTTTAAGCATTCAATGGTGGAGTCTGCTCAGATCTACCTTCCCATATGAAGGCAAGAAATAAAAACTGGCACGTGTCAAGGAGTCTCCGGCTTCTCAAGGAAGCAGTTTGGAGCCTGCCTTAGCCCCAGAAAGCAGCACAGATTAGCCAGCCAACTCATGCTTGATTAGAGAAACTGTTTCTTTTCTATAGAAATTACTGCTGATTTTTGAATAATGGAATGTTGTTCCTTTTCACAGTGATTCTAGCCTTCAATGTTTTGTTTCTATGTAACCCACAGCAGACAAACTGCAGCCTTTGCAAAGAAAGTTTTGTTTTAACATTTAAAAAAATAATTCATGCACCTGGGTGCCTTCAGGAATAATGATGATTGTACTTGAGGAGTTCTCCTAGACCTACCTCAATAAAAAATACATCCAAGCATTTCTTGTTTATTTTTTTCTTTCCAAAAAATTCTGAAATCAACCATTTCCAGGCTTCGTATGGCCTGGAAGGATAAATCTGGCCTCTAAGCCTGCCCATTCCTGACATAACCTATTGTGCTTTCATGTTTCAAGTGCTAATTCGTACAGTCACACAGCTGTCTTATTGATTTTGTCCTTTTAACGGCTGGACTCAAATAAGTGAAACTGAAATGGTTATCTTTTTCAATTCTACAAGTTATACATCGATGGATGATACAATCACAGCCAGCAGCACTAATCAAAAATGAAAATATTACAGAATGCTCACCATTATCAAAGTCAATGTATTTGGAAATCTTGTGCCAGGTGCGATAGTAGAAGTGTCGAACTTGCTCTTTGTTCTTCACCATGCTTGCCGGCTTGCTTTTCTTCTTGTACTTCAGCGCAATATTATTTTGAATTGCTTCAAAATCTTTTCCATGCTACAAAATGGAAACATTCCAAAGAAACTGAGAACAAATGGCGAAATAGAGGTGGGAGCAATGAAGAACTGGAATGTATTCCAAAGAAACTGAGAAATGGCGAACTAGAGGTGGGAGCAATGAAGAACTGGAATGTTTGTTCTAGATCCGAGTCAGCTTTTCATACATTTGGGCACTACTGTTTTTCAGACCAGAAAATCATAGAGAGACGTATGGCTGGACAACTCAGTGGTTTAGGTCTCTGGCAGGCATTACTGTTTTTCAGAAAATCATAGAGAGACGTATGACTGGACAACTCAGTGGTTTAGGTCTCTGGCAACCAAGCCAGAGGTTGGATTCCCCACTGTGCTTCTCGACAGGGGCTGGATTCAATGATCCATGCAATCTCTCCTAGTTTTGTGGTTCTAAGATTTAAATTAACAGCCAATGGCTACTGATGCTACCAGGGATCTATGAATTGCACAGCTGATTTTAGAATCTGATTGTTATTGTAAAGTATATTATAGAATGTCTATGAAAAATGCAGTTTGTGGGGGCAGATGTCCATGTTCTGTGGAAAGTGTCTGCAAAGTGCAACATGCAAGTATCTTCTAGTTTTGCGGTTCTAAGATTTAAATTAACAGCCAATGGCTACTGATGCTACCAGGGATCTATGAATTGCACAGCTGATTTTAGAATCTGATTGTTATTGTAAAGTATATTATAGAATGTCTATGAAAAATGCAGTTTGTGGGGGCAGATGTCCATGTTCTGTGGAAAGTGTCTGCAAAGTGCAACATGCAAGTAGTGACACAATAAGGTAATTTGGGGATCTGGGCTTAGTGAAGTTACAAATTTCCCTGTCCATGGCAGTAATGTGAATTGTCACTTGAAAATGAGCAAAGATCAATCCTCTGCCCCAAAGCACTAACCTGACAGCCCTAATTGACTTCCCAATTAGGTTGTGAACACTCTACTTCTCCCAAAATAAATGTCTAGGGGATACAAGCGTAACAGAAGAAATATGAGTGGACAAACTACTTGCGAGTTACTATAGTCCATTAAATGGTAATACGTAAGCATTAAGAGAGGTCAAGGCAGAAGAGATCAGTTAAAAGGAGTATACAATTTAAACAACTTTCAAGATCCACAAGATGTTTTGGAACTTCAACTTCCAAACGCTTGGTCAAGTATAACGTAGGGATTTTGGGACCTGAAACCCAAACTTCAGGAGAGCTACAAACTGTGACCCACTGACACAAAGATACACATCTTGTTTGAGGATCTGGCAGTAGCCAGGCTCAGAACAGGCTTGCCTCATGTTGTTGTTTAGTCGTTAAGTCGTGTCCGACTCTTCATGACCCCATGGGCCGGAGCACACCAGGTCCATGCTCTCTGGTCCCCTTGTCATGGCGAAGGGGCTTGAGTATGTAGCACACCAGGTCCATGCTCTCTGGTCCTCTTGTCATGGCGAAGGGGCTTGAGTAATTCAGAGTAGCTATGGGCTGTGCCGTGCCCGGACACCCAAGATGGACAGGTCCTAGTGGAGAGTTCTGACTAAACGTGATCCACCTGGAGCAGGAACTGGCAATGCCACTCCAGTATCTTGGCCAAAGAAATTCCATGGACAGAAACAAAAAGCTTACCTCGTAAAGACCCTCAAAGAAGGTATTCTTATCTTCTGTGCTCCATGATTCCCACTGACGCCTGACCTTCTTGCCTTCCTCCTTTTCTCCAGGTGTGGAGCCCAGATTTCTTGTAGCAGATTTTGAACTGCCAGCCAAGGTGCTTGTAGGGATTCCTGATGAGCTGCCAGATGACGTGCCACTATTATCTGCACCTTTAGGGAACAAGACAACCACCATCTATGTATTTATTATACTCTTTTCCACAAAACAAATGGGATGTGGTGGTGCTGCGGGTTAAACCGCAGAAGTCTCTGCGTTGCAAGGTAACAAGACCAGCCGTCGTAAGATTAAATCCACATGACAGAGTGAGCTCCTGTCGCTTGTCCCAGCTCCTGCCAACCTAGCTGTTCAAAAGCATGTAAAAATGTGAGTAGATAAATAGGTACCACCTCGGTGGGAAGGTAACGGCATTCCGTGTCTAGTCGCGCTGGCCATGTGACTACAGAAAGTGTCTTCAGACAAACACTGGCTCTACGGCTTGGAGATGGGGATGAGCATTGAGCCCTAGAGTTGGACACGACTAGACTAAATGTCAAGGGGAACCTTTACCTTTACCTTTCCACAAAAAGAAGAGGAGGAATCAAAGAAGTTAAGAAACATCCTTTTTTTTCCCTTGTTCCTCTTTTGCTTGAGATCAGACATCTTCGTAACTATACTGACTGTGGCTATGGCTGCTTCACGCTGTGCTACTGTGTTCCATCTAAACCAGTCCTCTAAGGCACTTTGGCCAACAAGTCCTTCTCACACTTCCCGCACCCCAGTTATCTGCCCTGAACAACACGCCGTAACTACCTCTACTTTTTAAAATTACATGACCAAAAGTATTCTAGCTTTCTGCATTTTATGTTTTGTGGTTCCGTTTTGACATCCTATAAATTGCTTTTGAAACTCAAATCTACTTAGAAGCCGTGTTTCTTCGAGAACATCGTATAATTCTATCGCAGCCTATCGTTATAGGGGGTGGTCCTAACTAGAGATGGGCATGAACTGGTTGCTGAATCCCATGGTTATCTTGGCAGGCCATAAATTATGCACAGCTGCTGCATCACACAGAACTAAGTGAAAAAAACTATGGGGCTAGAACAGGATTGGAATAAACTTACCCAAGAAGGCACCCACACAGGATTCTGGACACTGTGGATCTTTCATTAAGCCATCTCTATAAATTTAAACAGTGGTGTTCAAGTGTATCAAGGATTCTGCAACTCATCTATGGAACACCATCTCCCTACATTTAGTAAGATGGCCTTACTGATCATTTTTCATCAATGCATGCTGATCTCACAGGAGGGGATATGAGGCTGCCCGAGAAGATATTAAAAGATGATATGATATTGACATCCAGACTGCCATGGCATCTGTAGTTAGCTGCCATTCCAAAAAGGATATACAATGACTTTTCCTTGCCTTTTGGAAAGCCATCCCCATATCTGTCCCTTATTAGCCCACACGAGTTCAGACATCAGCTAACTAAATGCAGATTGAACTCACTGCAGTTGAAAGAGATTCAAGGACATTTTATGGACCAACATGATACAGGTTGATATTGCCCAACAGGATGTTCTAAGATGGAGCACCGTGGTACCTTTTCTAACAGAATGTCCTCTGTATGCAGATTTTAACTACTTATATCTTAAACTCTTAACAACTGGGAATAAGAACAATTCCCATTTATGTACAGTTTTGGCTAGCACAGATTCCCATATATCCTAAAGGACTGCTAAATTCATTAAATGAGCCGTGGAAAGACAGAACTCACTGCCTGCTTTACAATCACTTCAAGTTAATCTTACAAGTTGAAACTTGTCTGAGAATGCTTATTTTGTGTTTTCTGATTGTTTATATGTATTTATGATAGATGCCAAATAGTATCATTTAAAAGTACTGTAGTTTAATTTTTGTTTATGCATACTGATTGGCTATAGTATTTGTATTTGCGTGCTGATCATGTGATACTGAAACTGACAAAATCAATAGAATTAGGATGCCCAGTGTGTGCATTAATAAATTATAACATTACCAAACGGAACAGTAAGAAAAGTAAAAAGACACAGAGTTTACATGGCAAAACTGTTTGCTGCATCTACGCCAGAAATTCTTAGAGGGACTGAGTATGTGCCAGTAATATTTCTGCATGTAATCCAAATTCAGAATATCTCTTTACAGTTTGGAGCTGCCCTGATAATTTTTTTAGAAAGATTAGGCAATACTGTTAAAAGTAGAATTAAAGCGAGAACTAAAATGAGTCACTGACAAAAATGAGTAGAATTATACAGGCAACTTTGCAAAGCTGGTCAAGAAATACCTGAGTATCTTAAAATAAATCCAGATAAGCAAATCCTGACAAACTACTTCTGTCACTAAAGGAATCCAAGGGTGTTTCACACTTTGATAAGTACAGCTATCTGCTATTTTGGAACATATGCTCTATAGAACAGCCCAAATCCTGTTGGTATAAAGTTATGCCATGGAAGTCAGATGATGTCATAATATAGCACTGGTAATATTTAAACGAACTGAAAACTTCTTTTCGTCCCGTTTCAAGTTCCAAGGCTCCTTAAGGCTCCTTTTTGCCTACCCTGGAAGGCCAGCTCCATTTCTGTAGCCCCCTTCCCACAATTTTTTTTAAAAATGAAAAAGACCTCCTGAGCCTTTCAGTGACCAGACTGTTTCTTTTATTTTCCAACTTTTGGGTGGAGAAGCCCCAGGAGTCTAGAGACTCTTCAAAATATGACAAGGCTATCCCCCTAGAGAGCACAAGCTACCTTTGAGCCATTTCTTCCCTAAACCCTTTTCCTTTTAGGGGTAGTATGGGAATGTCAGATCGCTTGGAGTTCCTGCCCAGGTTGTCCTCTACAAGGCTTGGGTCTAGTCAACCTGAACAGTTAGTTATACCTGCCCAAATGAAACAGATTTTTCCCCAAAGTAGTTTTAAATTATTTAGGTACAGTACATAGATTAATTTCAGTTTAATAATATGCCTTTTTAGCTGCATTTGTTTTAATTCATGCCACAAGCCATTCCAAGTCTTGCACTGGGGGAATAGTTGGGCTACAAAATGATGGAAGTAAAAAAACCATTCAGTCCTGTTATATTTTTTCTACCTATTCCATGATATTACTGAGACTTTTTATATGTAAGATTGAATATTGTTCTTTGAGGGAGATGCAAGGAAGATTGACAGAACAACCTTACCAGGGAAGAGTTTATCCATGTGACAGCATTAGGCTGGATACTTTTTCGCATAGTCTGTGTTTCTTCCTCTTTTTATGCAACTGTCAGAGAATGTTCCATTAAAGCTTTATTTGATATACTTGAAATAACCATTCTCTGAAGACCCTGTCTCTACACTATTAAAGATAAAAATCCTTATTTCTCTGTAGCACTTGCTAAATGTGTTGTTACTATTCAGACTTCAAGATACTGATTTGCCTTATATTATTTAAAACTTTGCTGTACAAGAGTTTTTAATTAACTTCTATGGGAGGGAAGGAAAGAAAAAATATTTTAATTATGTACCTTCAAGCTGAATTATGACAATGCTTTCCAAGGTTTCCTCCTGTAGAGTACCCGGAGGTGGTTTACCATTCTGCTCTTTTGGGGTATTCTGGACCTGTCATTGTGCAGCTTACCCAAGACCACACCAGCTGGCTATGGTCTCAACAAGGAACGGTGGAGAATCAAACCCCTCGCCCCTGGCACCACAGCCAGATGCTTTGACTATTAAAACCCGCATCTTTAATAGAACACTTCTTCTACCTTAAACACATCACCACATTTTCTGGGGCTGGCTATTGTAGCAGACACTCCACTGAGAAAATGGAAGTATGAAAAAAGACAGCTGAACAACACTCATTCCTTCAGCATGCATAAGATCATCTTGCTGATTTTTATCAGACTCTTTAAGTTTCCACTGTAAGAAAAAGTAAAGGATAAAAGCAAAGGCAGTAGCGTACTTGTAAGACTCATTTAATCTCAAGATTCCCGCCTCCCCCTCTTTTAACGGGCTTAACAGTGAATTCAAAGATCTGGGAGAAGAAATACAAGTGCTACTTGTTAAAACCACATAAAGACGGACAGAATACAGGGATCCTCCACAGTGAGCCCGCAAGTACTGAAAAATACTTTCTTCATGCTGAACAGACCTAACTTTAAAGACATTCTCCACACCTGTGTGGTAAGACCCTGTGGTACTGATAGCAAGGGTCTTCGCATGAAACATGGGGCAAGTGGTGATAGCAGCTTCACAGAGCTTTGAATGACAGCTCTCCAAACAGCCTCATTACAGGGCTTATATTCTATGAAGATCTCATGCTGCAATCACTGACTGGAACGTCCAGTTGGGAACATAGATTTTGTCCATCACCAATTGCTTACTTTCAAACATATCTATACAAACAACAAGGACTAGCAATAAACACACAATTAAACAAAGCTGTCTATATTACAATATGTATTCAGCGCGGATCTTGGCGATTAACATCGGGCAAACATCTCATAATAGTGAGTACTGAGATGTAGCACATAAGATAGTGGGAGTAGACAGTCTTTCAATTACAACTCCCAGCATTCTCTACCAGTGGCTATGATGGGTGCACAGACTTTTTTTTAAAAAAAAATTTTTTTCTTTGTAAGTCCTAAAATCTGTATGTGGTCAGACTGCTGGTTCTTGGTACAGCATTCAAATTTAGCTAGTTTGTTCCTTATTTTGAAAGCCCTATTAGGGTTGCTATAAGGCAGTTCTGACTTGACAGCATAGAATACCCACAGAGACCGTTCCTTGTGGGCACAGGGAGGCAGAGATGGATCCACAGCTGCTTTTGTGCATGCGCCAGGAAAAGAGGGCTTTTAACTGTCTTAGGAAAAGTAAGAAGTGCCACTTTCCCCCTTTTCCAATTCAAGGCAGAAACTCCCACAAGAACTTTGCCCTGCCCCAACAATTAAAAAAACGACATGACTGCCCTTTTGCTGCCCTTTTGTGATACCCCAAATCTGCTACCCCCTCTAATAGTAGAACTGACCCTGCAGTAGACCATTATTAACTTCTCTACTCCTTTAGCTTTTTCCCACTGCAACGTCCTCCCCTGCTTCTTCACTGTAGTGTGGAAATGACTCTGGGTTCTGAAAGACTATGCCAGAGGACCAAAAGCTC